TGGCTCGCACTTGCAGGGAATCAGGAAGGCCAAAGCAGGATTCGAACTTAGGCTGGCAACAAAAATTAAGGACGACAAAAAGTCCTTCTACAGGAACATAGGGAGCAATAGGAAGGCACAGGGTAGCATAGGACCGCTGCAGGACAAACTAGGGCAATTGGTGACAGAGATGGGGGATAAAGCTGAGCCCTTCAATGAGTTCTTTGCATCTGTATTCCTAGACACAGACCAAGAGAAATCTCCCAATTGGATCATAGATGGACATAGGAGGGACACCAGCCCACCAACTGTTAGCACAGACTTAGTGAAGGGGCACTTGGAGGGGCTGGATGTGTTCAAATCAGCGGGCCCGGATGAGCTTCATCCAAGGGTGCTGAACGAATTGGCCAATGTCATAGCAGAGCTGCTGGCATAGGTGTTCGAGCACTCATGGTGCTCTGGTCAGGTCCCAGAGCACTGGAAAAGGGCCAGTGTGGTCCCTATTTTTAAGAAGGGGAGGAGGAAAGAACCGGGAATCTATAGGCCAGTCAGTCTCCCCTCTATGCTTGGGAAAACTCTGGGACAAATCATTAAGGATCGCAGCTGTGGGAGGCCAGTAGGGGAAATAACGCTGAAGGGAAATCAGCATGGATTCATTGCAGGTAGATCCTACCTGACTAACCTTGTTTCTTTTTATGACCAGGTCACAAAATGCTTAGACACAGGAGTCACGTACCTAGACTTTAAGAGGCCCTTCGATATGGTATCTCATTCTGTTATCGTAAATAAATGGACAGGCTGTGATGTAGATGATTACATGGTCAGGTGGGTGGAAAATTGGCTTAGGGGGTTGCACCCAGAGAGTGGGGGTGGACAGGTCGATATCGACCTGCAAAGATGTGGGCAGTGGAGTCCCGCAAGGCTTCGTCTTTGGACCAGTGCTATTCAATGTCTTCATCAGTGACTTGGACGAGGGTGTAGAGAGCACCCTGTCCGAGTTCTCAGATGATATCAAATTATGGGGCAAAGTTAACACACCAGAGGGTAGGGAACAGATCCAGGCAGATCTGGACTGGTTGGAAAAATGGGCAGAACAAAATAGGATGCAGTTCAACAAAGACAAGTGCAAGAACCACCAACACACTTGCAGGCTGGGGAAGGACCTTCTCAGCAGCACAGCAGCGGAAAGGGATCTTGGAGTCATAGTTGACTCCAAGATGAACGTGAGTCGTCAATGTGACAAAGTAATCAGCAAGGCTAACCGCACTCTATCATGCATTAGCAGATGCATGACGAACAGATCCAGGGAGGTGATGCTTCCCCTCTATGCGGCACTGGTCAGGCCACAGTTTTGGGCGCCGCACTTCAAGAGGGATGCGGAGAGTCTTGAGAGGGTTCAGAGGAGGCTGCTCGTATGGTCAGAGGCCTGCAGGCAAGGCCCGACGAGGAGAGACTGAGGGACCAAGATCTCTTCAGCCTTCGCAAGAAACACCAGACTCTTCGTATAGGCGGGTGGCATAAAAATGGCCAAGGGTAACAATGTAACAAGGGTCAAGTATTGACGAAGTCACTTTCAAAGAAGCCAAGGGGTGTTAGACACCCGAGTCTGACCAGGAAAGGAAAGAATAAATGAACGGAGGAAACGAACAAACATGAAGCACAATCCTGGAGCCAGCAGCACTTCATT